GAATGACATCGTCACACACTGTACACAGAGATTTACCGGCGACATCGAGCTTTTTCACGAAATTCGACACAAGCACAATGGTTCCTCTTTACTGTTTCCTACTGGGGACACCGTCAGCTTTCTATCCAACCAGTCCCATCGAAACGTGTTTTTCAGATCCGCATCTATCTGACGCACTTTAGCTTCGTCGCGAGTCTCGATAACATTCGGCATCCGCGAGAAAGTGGTTTAGGAAGGCGAACACGGATTGGTTGTGATTTGCATTTGCCGAAATGGCGAACAATCACAACAAGTAAGACATTGGTTTTAGCCCGTATAGGAAGTAACGACAAACTAACGCTTCGCGATAAAAAACGGGATTCAAAATGGATGCTTGCAAACGTTACTTGTAAACATTATGGGCCCCGAATCTGCCGAAGACAAGTCCGGACCCCCCGCACAGAATATTTTACGGATTTGGAACAATATAAAATAGGTCCATTTTGACTGGAAAAAAAGCGGAATTCCGCCAAAACACGGAAAAATCTCATCCCTGAATAATGTTCCTAAATTCCAGAGGTCCCTGTAAGCAGCGTACGCATGTCTGAGTGAAAGAGTGGCTGCTGGTGATGGGCTGAGAAGCAAGAAATGAGCGGAGAGATGTGCATGAGTGAAAGACGAAAGTGGTTAGTTAGGTCTGAATGTGTTCGAGGTGATAACAGACACTTTCCAAATACTTTATGTGACCCACTATAGCAAAATGAGTCAGAACTGGCTCAGGTAGAGCGCTTTCATCAATTCAAAGTTACAACTTCATGAAATGCTTGTGGAGGCTCTCAGTCGTACAGGAAAGTTCCATCATAGAAAGGGTTCCGTTAGTCGTCATCTGTACCTGTGGGTAAAAAACAAAAAACAAAAAACAAAAAAGGACGTTTCGCTTTTCTCACAGAAGCTTCGTCAGCGGTAGACAACCCTGAAGTCTCCGTGAAGACTCCGGGAAATTGCTCTGCGCTAAAAAGCTGAGCGTGGCCTATTTGAGCACTGGGTGGGGATGGTTAGTCACGCCCCTATGGTGACCATTGATTTCTAAATTCCCTATCGTTGGGTCTTGATTAGGCCTATTGTTTGGGCTTGGGCTGAATAGCTACTTTCAGTTAGCCTGATCAGCCTGTCTATGTCCCTTGGTGGTCAACAAGTTATTGTAAATAGGAGACAGGTTAAATCTGATACCTCCTTCACGGTTCAGAGAGGGTGAAAATTTTTTAACAAAAATCGCTTCCTTTACTCCCCTTTCAAACCATCTCTTTTCTGTTCCTAGGATTTTTACTTGTTCATCTTCAATTGTGTGGTTTGTTTCTTTTAAGTGTGCGTATACTGCACTTTTGTTATCATTGTTTTTCCATTTGTTGTTAATAAAGTATTTTCTTGAGTGTTTGTTTGGTTTCTCCGATGTAATGTTCCTTGCACTCACTTTCTTGGCAACGGATGGAATGAATCAGATTGCATTTTTGGGTGTTGGGAACCTGGTCTTTGGGGTGTACTAGTTTTTGTCTCCATGTGTTTATCGGTTTAAAATAAACAGGAATATCATGTTGTAGAAATATTCTTTGTATTTTCTCTGAGAGGCCGGCAATATAAGGTACACAGACACCCCTTCTCTTCTTTGGTTGGTTTCCTCTCTGTTTGTTTTAATTTTCCTAACTTTGCCAAAGGCCATTTAGGGTAGCTACACCCTGACAGTGCCCTCTCAATGTGTTTGACCTCACTCTCTCTCGACTTGGTGTTGGTGGAGATTTGGCTCGCTGTGTTCAAGTGTTCTAATTACACCTAGCTTGTGTTGCAGCGGGTGATTGGAGTTGAAATGCAAATACTGATCTTTGTGCGTGGGTTTTCTGTAGACCTCAACCTTAAGAGTTTTGTCCTGCTCTAAGCTGACCTTGCAATCCAAAAAGGCCAGTGCGTTGTCTTTTGCGTCTGCTCTGGTGAATTTGATGCTGTCGTCTAGATTATTTATGTGTTCGGTGAATCCCTCAACTTGTAACTTGTACATGGAAGAATTTGAGAATTTGGCATTGTCTTCATACAAAGGTTCCCCACCAAGCCATTGGTTTAGATATGTGGATGACACCTTTGTCAAAATCAAAACAACGGAAGTTGAGGGAACCTTAACCTTAAATAGTGGCAGGAACAGAAAAGAGATGGTTTGAAAGGGGAGTAAAGGAAGCAATTTTTGTTCAAAAATTTTCACCCTCTCTGAACCGTGAAGGAGGTATCAGATTTAACCTGTCTCCTATTTACAATAACTTGTTGACCACCAAGGGACATAGACAGGCTGATCAGGCTCACTGAAAGTAGCTATTCAGCCCAAGCCCAAACAATAGGCCTAATCAAGACCCAACGATAGGGAATTTAGAAATCAATGGTCACCATAAGGGCGTGACTAACCATCCCCACCCAGTCCTCAAATAGGCCACGCTCAGCTTTTTAGCGCAGAGCAATTTCCCGGAGTCTTCACGGAGACTTCAGAGTTGTCTACCGCTGACGAAGCTTCTGTGAGAGAAGCGAAACGTCCTTTTTTGTTTTTTACCCACAGGTACAGATGACGACTGACGGAACCCTTTCTACGAACTTCATGAAATATTGTGAAGTGTTCAAAATTTGCATTATGTAAAAGACAAGACAAAACATTACCTTGCTATGATCAGAGATATCCACATGGAGAATCCCCGACATACGGCTATCAGTATAAATCTGAGAAAGCTTTTTGATAATTTTGTACTCGTTTTAATAGTTCTATGTGATTCTTAACATGAAGCCGTGAATCTGCAGGAATGTTCCATACACAATTGCCATGGACAGTGGCATTGCTATCAGTATCAGACCTCAAAATAATAATAATACATTTTATTTATAAGCGCCTTTAAATACTGGCATCTGATGGTCTATTGTCGTTCATTCGAATAGCGTTAATACATAATAAATCACAGATGTAGTGGCAAGCCTAACTGCCGTAATTGGCGGCAATGTTCAGGGCCGACCAAGTTGTAACTCGCATATTTTTCAAACGATTTTCATGAGGTTAAGCGTGTTATCAATAGGGCTGCAGCTATCAAATATTTGGTATTTGGATATCCTACAGATTTTTTCAATCAATCGGTTATTCGGATAAAAATTAATATTTAATATTTCGCTTGGTTCAAGTGACAGAACCCCCCCCCAAAAAGCCAAAAAACAAAAAAACAAAAAAACAAAAAAACAAAAAAACAAAAAAACAAAAAAACAAAAAAACAAAAAAACAAAAAAACAAAAAAACAAAACAAAAGAAAAACCCCAAAACAAAAAAAAAAACAAAAAAACCAAAACAAAAACAAAACATTAGTAGGAACGGCAACTGTCAGGCTGTCAGCATCAGAGTGCAGAGTGATTTACGTCTGTTAACTTGAGCCATGCTAGCAGGGCTGTACAGTGCAGTGTCAACGTCTCTCAGTGTCTCTTTTTTGCCCTGTGAATTAGCGACTGAACATTCAGGTCACAGTTTCAGGACACAGTCCCATTGTGGTCTGAAGCAATGGGTTGTGATGGCAATAAACGACCCCCAAAACACAGTCTGGAAAACGAGTCAAATCAGCCGTTACGCTACGACATGCTGCCTGGAACAACTTTAAAATAAATCATTGCTAACCACTGATGTCCAGATATTATTTGATAACTAAGGTTCATTTTGAAGTTGGCCTTCTCATCGCGTTGATAGCGTAGCACAATCTTTGAGATGTCATTGGAAAGGTAAGATCATTCTTTTTGATTATGGCAAAATCTAATTCCGGAAATATATGTCACAGTGACTCATTTTGCTGTGGCGGGTTACAAACAGAAGCAACGTGTCAGTGCCCCTGTTGCAGTGCGACAATATTGCTACCACTACGTTTGTATGTGTCCACGAACCACAAGGAGACGCTCCTCTGAAAACAGCAGCAAACAGACAACACAGGGCTCGGCCACCAAAAATGAAACGCTCCCAAGAAGCCAACAGGCAGCTCAAGTCAGGCCAGATGGAGAAACAGTAAAAATGAATCAACTCACGCTTCAGAGTGGGTAATGTCATCCAAAGTAGCCGAGGCAGACACATATCTGAAGACACAACAGCAGGGTCAATAAATGTATGCAATGTAGCTCGTGATGTTCTCTCACACATCAATAATCACACAATATTTGATCATTCATAACCAAGAGGGTCATCTAGAAATACATTTTCTAACAAAACACCTAAACTTCTCTGCCTATTTCGTTCTCAGTGAAAACAAACAACAAGAAGTTCAATATGGTGAGTGGGCGACACTAGCCTGTTATGACATGCTGGATGAAACAATGAAAATCAGTCTTCTTTGTGAGACACAGCTGATGCTTTCACATTGAAGCACCCCAAAGTTGGAAATGATTGGATTTGGATGTGCATACATGATGTCATCTTGACCTAATTTCAGCCAGCAGAGGCCCTAATTAATGCTGCATGTTTGCTACGAGTTCTCTGGTGGGATGGTGGTGCACGGGAGGGGGCAAGGCAAATTCGACAGCAAGTTTGTTTGTCAGCAGAATTGTATTCTAAGCAGAGAAGACATGCTGAATTTCGACGACGCGGAAAAAGTCAAGACCAATTCATGTACCTGATTCAGGGGGGAACACCCCTGTATGACATCACAGAAAACCGCTGCGTGGATACAGTGATGAAAGGAAAATTCCAGGGTCCCTCGTGTTTTGCTGAATTTTTCCCCGAAACGAATCTCATTTTTCGGAACCGAAGTGTGCATGAAAACCCAAAACTTTGCACACACATTGGGCCTGGCAAATGAGTTTGCTATTTTGAAGCTGTCAAACCATTACAAAAAATGGCTCTGTAAGACTAACCCATTTTAGAAAAAGATTAAATTGTTTTTTTTTTCAACTGATGATTTTTGTCAAGCTTCAGTCCAATATTCACAATGTACAGTAACATTTCCAAAATAATAAAAGGACATCATGCTATCAAAATCTTAAAAGCTATGACGCTAATAAATGCACAGACACTAAAGATGTGACAGTCCTTTTTCAAAGCAAGACCTATTGCTTACCAACCTGCTTATTTTTCCATACTACTGTCAGAGACTTTATACTTGCTTCAAACGAAGACTGAGGGCTTAGTGGTCTATAATAAATTGAATCCCATCACAGTGGTGGTGAGTGTAAAAGTGTAAACATTAGAATGGAACTATTTTAGAAAGAGTTACTTAAATATAAAAGGTAAATATTTATCGTTAAAAAGGGTCTCTCTGCCTCTTGTCAAACATTTTTTTCATTTTCTGATGTTTCTTTTATGTAATGAAATCTAACAAATAAACAGTCCATTAGCAAAGCTAAATTCATTAAAAAAATAAGTAATGTTGACATTTATTCTTGTGTGGATCTCAAAACTCACTAATCTGTAGAGCAACATTGAGCAAATAAAGCAAATAGCATTGTTGATATACAATGGATAGATGATATATACTTTTGACCTCAAGCTCCTCGATATGATTGACGTCAGCTGGAAGCGTCTTCTGGTGTTTGAGCACATGCTAATGTCGCTGTTTTCTTACTTTATCCCCAGATACTTAATAAGTGTAACACTTATTTTTTTGTTTATAGCTGCTTGATCTATACCCAAACGTGGTTCTAGTGAAAAATGTACTATACCTAAGCACTTATTTTGGTCTTTACAGACTCTACATTTCACATTAGCAGTTACCATTAGCGTCTCCATATTCTCATCTTCTCTCTCCTTGCTCGGTGTTGCATGCTAACCGAGTCCTCATCCGCCTTTTATGAAAGTGTGTCTTTGTCTGCATGGAGCGTCTCTTTTTCTCCACGGAGCAGAGTATTTGTTACTTATTAACTAGTGGTGCGGCGCAAGCTAGGTTAGCATCTGGCTTTCTTATGCAGAGGCGAAAGAAAAGACTTCCAGGAGTATGGGTGACAGCGTGATGTAGATGCAACGCTCTTTTAAACCAGCAAAGTGTGATTGATCTGTACATAGTGGCATGACACGGATTGGTGAGCTTTGGGGATAGTAGCCCTTAGTAAAGCCTAAATTTGATTATCACAAAATCGCCTTGCCCGTGATGGCAATTTCAATCCCAAAATGAAGTTACCATTAAACATGCATACTTAAGAATATAAAGGTCAATGTCTTGAACACTTTGAGAACATTTTATGGCAGACCTGAAAAGGCATGTCCACGCACGGTGACCTTCAAACTTGCCTGAGTTACACCAGTTCTGCCAGGAAGAACGGGCAAAAATTCCTGCCAAATTTTGTGAGAAGCTCATGGAAGTATAGACAAAACGTTTCACCCAAGTTATATAGTTTCAAGGGCATAGTACCAAATACTGATGACATGAACTGTATGTAAACTTCTGACTTGCGTCTTGAACAATTGCCCACCGAAATCCTTGTATTTGGCAAAAAAATTGCACCATGATATTTTTGGTTCTACAAAAAAATAATAGCCGCATATGTTGGAGCTTCAAAATACCGTATTGGCCTGAATATAAGACGGTGTTTTTTGCATTGAAATAAGACTGAAAAAGTGGGGGTCGTCTTATATTCGGGGTCTAGACATTATACCTATTCACGACGCTAGATGGCACCAGATATCATTGAAGCGAATGCTGAACTTGACTCCCCAGGCCAAAGTGAACCCCTGACATGAAGAATAAAAATAAAAATAGCGGTATCACGAAGAAGAAAAATAAAAAATAGCGGTAAGAAAGAAAAGAGAAGAAAATAATAGAAGAGATAACAGAAAATAGAGAAACGTAGTGACAATCTGGAGAAAAGTGGGTCGAAGATCGGCCAGGTTAACCGGCAGCTGAGGAGAAGTTATGATGTAATTTACATTTCAAAAACCAGAAGCCGTTCATTTACGAATGTGATTGCACTTTAGTTTACATATTTAAATGTTCAGATATTAAGATTTGAATGAGGCAAAATAACATGCTTTTTCTCTCAAATATATTGTTATAATCATTTGTTTCTTGTTATAATCATTTGTTTCAGATGTACTGTAATTATTTTCTGTAAAAAAATTAATTTGGTGCTCAAAAAGTCTTTTTTCAAACTTCAGTCTTGAAAAAGAGGGGCTGGTCTTATAATCAGGGCCGTCTTATATTCGGGCCAATACGGTAATGTTTCACAATAAGAAGACCAGGAGTTGCAATTATTCCGTTGTTGTCAACTGGTTATACTTTATGTGTGAAGCTCAATCATCTGGTGTGCGACAAGCCATAGTCTACAAGCAGTTAGAGCTGCTAACAACATACAAAACGTGAACGGAGCTTGTCTTAATTTGTACTAGGCATCATATAAAACAATAAGATGATGTAGCCGGAAGGCTATGCACGGCTAAATTGTGTCTGCGTGAAAGGATGAAAACCAAAGTGTACAGAAATACATACGCATTGGAGGTCTGGACATCTTGCCAGCTCTTTGTGAGATTTTGCTTGAACTCATTGAGAGGGCTGAGGCCCAGTTTCCGCTTGAGCTCTGTGGCATGTCTTTCCTTGGCGGACAGAACCTGACGTAGGGTGCTGATCTCCTCCTCCACCTGAAAAGCAGCAGATACGGGATGCATGACAAAGGTTCCCCTTCCTGCAGCTAAATGACACCAAGAAGGCCTGCGACAAACGATAAAGCACACAAAATTTGAAAACAATGGGACACCCCAAAAGAGAAAGTTAGGCTGGTTGATGAATCAAAACCCATACATTTTGGGGTCAGGAAAATTTGCATTTGTATCCATTCAACCATTATTTGAACTGCTTATCCACACACGTGGTTCAGCCTAACCCAGCTGTCTTCGGGCAGTGGGCGGGGTCCACCCTGAACTGGTTGCCAGCCAATTGCAGGGCACACAGACAAACAACCATTTGTGCTCACAATCAAAACATTGGGACAATTTAGGGTGCTCCATTAACCTAGCATGCCTGTTTTTGGGAATGCGGGAGGAAACTGGAGGACCCAGAGGAAGCACACACAGGCACTGGGAGAACATGAAAACTCCACACGGAGGCCTGAGCCGAATACGAACCCATGACATCAACACTGTGAGGCGGATGTGCTAACCAGTCAATCGCCATGTCACCCTTTTCATCTTTACTTTCATTTTTTTTTTCCTCAGTACAACTCGTGTAGTTTGTGGTGCATTCTCTCGCTGATGCGCACCACAGTGATGACGTAGCGAAGAGTACCAAGCTTACAGCAGCAATGTGACAAGATACGGTTCTTCACCACAGTGGCGCCGAGGCTCTGTTGGCCCATTGGTGATTACTATATTACTACGTTCAACTGCAGTATCCTACACATACACTACCATGAAGACGACAATCAACGTGCATTGTGGGATTACATTACTCAAATAAGAGATTTGTTTGTAACACATGAAAACACGTACATGTGGTCTTAAATTCTTCAGTGAAGTCCCTACTTTAGGCTGGCCAACTTCCTGCTCATGAAAGCGTTTGATTATGCTTCTTTTTCACACACTTTACAGAAAAACATCTTGTATTCCTCGTCTTGACAAATCGTAGAAAGGGTTCTGTCAGTCGTCATCTGTACCTGTGGGTAAAAAACAAAAAACAAAAAAGGACGTTTCGCTTCTCTCACAGAAGCTTCGTCAGCGGTAGACTACCCTGAAGTCTCCGTGAAGACTCCGGGAAGTTGCTCTGCGCTAAAAAGCTGAGCGTGGCCTATTTGAGGACTGGGTGGGGATGGTTAGTCACGCCCCTATGGTGAAGAGGCCCATTGATTTCTAAATTCCCTATCGTTGGGTCTTGATTAGGCCTACTGTTTGGGCTAGGGCTGAATAGCTGCTTTCAGTTGGCCTGATCAGCATGTCTATGTCCCTTGGTGGTCAACAAGTTATTGTAAATAGGAGACAGGTTAAATCTGATACCTCCTTCACGGTTCAGAGAGGGTGAAATTTTTTTTAACAAAAATTGCTTCCTTTACTCCCCTTTCAAACCATTTCTTTTATGTTCCTAGGATTTTTACTTGTTCATCTTCAATTGTGTGGTTTGTTTCTTTTAAGTGTGCGTATACTGCACTTTTGTTGTCATTGTTTTTCCATTTGTGTTGATAAAGTCTTTTCTTGAGTGTTTGGTTTCTCCGATGTAATGTTCCTTGCACTCACTTTCTTGGCAACGGATGGAATAAATCAGATTGCATTTTTGGGTCTTGGGAACCCGGTCTTTGGGGTGTACTAGTTTTTGTCTCAATGTGTTTATCGGTTTAAAATAAACAGGAATATCATGTTGTAGAAATATTCTTTGTATTTTCTCTGAGAGGCCGGCAATATAAGGTACACAGACAGTCCTCAATAGGCCACGCTCAGCTTTTTAGCGCAGAGCAACTTCCCGGAGTCTTCACGGAGACTTCAGGGTTGTCTACCGCTGACGAAGCTTCTGTGAGAGAAGCGAAACGTCCTTTTTTGTTTTTTGTTTTTTACCCACAGGTACAGATGACGACTGACAGAACCCTTTCTACGATGGAACTTTCCTGTACGACTGAGAGCCTCCACAAGCATAAAAACAGTTATACTAACAATATAACACCTTAATTCTTAAAATAAGATGGGTTTTTTTTCACATTTTCAGATAGTGGTGTGCCGCGAGATTTTTTTTCAATGAAAGAAGTGTGCCTTGGCTCAAAAAAGTTTAAAAACACTGATCGAGGACACTCACCACATTCCATTTGAACAATATGGGGGAAGAGCCCCACCTTGTGTTTTCGCAGAGAAATACGTCTTATAGCTCCTGTGTACCGTTCTGAAATGCCGCCCCAGGTTGGCTTTCTTCGGCAATGCCACTGTTGCATTGCAAATCAAACAAACAGGCTTTGAATGAGAATAAACAAAAAATAATCTTGCTCCCACTCAAGGTGAAAATGGTAGTTCTTGGCTTGGTTTTGTCTGAGCCATGTTGACTTTTGGTGGTGACAACAACTATGATCGCGAGGTGCTCGCTACTGTTGAACAACTTCCAGCAGCGTTTCCAACTCATCGGTAAGGAAATTAGTTGGCTGTCGCTGAATGATGTCATCAGGGCGATGGCTAATATGCGATTTACTTGGGGAGATTTTTTTTTTCTTTTGTAATTGTTATTTGTTGATTTTTTTTGTTTATTTTAGAAAAAGAAACGTTTTACATTTACATCCAGCCCAGATTGTAAACCTGGCGGGATCAGCCAGCAGCGACTTCATTTGGGGGAGGAGCCACAACAGCACCTGGCGCCTCTTGAGGTCGTTAGAGTTGCATACCTCGCCCAAGGCCAAACCAAAGTAGCACCAACATATACAAACTCCTATCCCTTTGCATCACTACGATCATAAACTTATATATATATATATATATTTTTTTTTTACCTACACACCTCGAGGTTGACTCGGGATCAGTCCGCGGTCGACTGGTTGGGCACCCCTGATGTAAACAATGCGCCACTGGCTTTAGGTGATGTTGTCATTAGACTGGAGCCAATCATGCGGGTCACTGGCCGGAGAGAGGATTGTGGAATTACTTTATGCAATTTGCTTATGGACATATCTTTTTTTGGGGGAGCGGGGGCATCTGGATATTCATACTTGGTATCCAGATAACGCCAGAGCAATTTTTTTCAACCATATTAGCCGCTCACCAATGTGGTGACTGTGGGAAATAGTTACCTCGTCACTTCCCATTCCACCTGTCACTGGCGAGGTGGCCAAGGTGCATGCAGCCTGCCATTGGGTTAAAATCCAATGACTGCCTTGGCCAGTCAAATACCATTTTACTTTTATGCTATAACTTTGAAACTTGAAGATTAGAGACATTTATGACATTTACTTTCACCCTTCAGACGCAGGTAAACTAGCTGCGTTAGCTGTAGAGATTGACGACAAAGACAATTGAGCTCACCAATAGTAGGTTGGATATTAACTTTTGAGAACATATTAAAGCGGTAGATTAGACACCATGGAGAGTGTCATCTTTGTAGTGTAGTAATGTCAGAGATGTTGGCTAGGGCAGTTGAACAGAGGCTCGAATGCAGGAACAGATCGACTTTCACTGCCTGCAGGAGGCGCAGTTTTCTATGAAGCCACTCTGTGCGCTTCTCAACTGACACCTGACCTCCGCAGCCTCTGCCGGCTTTTTATTGATCGTGTATGGATATTACAAGTGATATATCAGAAAAACACTCCCTTCTTCATTTACCGACAAAGTAGGGTTGTATGTATCCATCCATCAGTGGCGGATGCTGGTCTGTTAAGGAGGGGAAGCTCAATTTTGGCCTACATCATAAAATGTGTCCGTTTATTTATACGTGGATTCTACTTTCTGTTCCTTTTCAAGAAAATTATCTGTGACCCTGTCATACCAACAAGGCGTCTTTTCCAGGGACTTAACTAGTGTCCAACAATTACAGCAACTACAATAAAACCCACCAGAACTAAAAGATTAATTTGTCGCGAGTCGTTTTCAACAAAGAGAGTGTCGCTCAGATGATTAGAAGAAGTCTCCAGTTTAACTCAGAACAGAATGAGAATTGAAAAATGCTCCCACGATGCCGACACCAAAAGATCGGTGATTGGCTCATTTTGTTGTCAATCAAAAAGAGATTCAGCCTCAGACAGATCATCCAATGATCATGCAGAAAAGCTCAGCGTCGGGCCAGCCCATACACGCCCACTGTCCATAGACTTCCAGACACGCTGAGCGTCCGATGAGCGGGACAAAACCAGCATTTATCCAATGACTCGTCTCGTTTCAATGCATTGGGACAACGGGCTCTGAACTCTAGACGCCCAGCGTCCGCGCTGTAGACGCTCAGCGTCCACACAGTTAAAGCACAGTGAAGCTGCGGGAATGAATGAGAAGAGAGTCGCGTCGTAACCAGTAATAAGAGGCTGATTTGGAAAAAATTTGAGCGCGTTGTAGCGCATATTTAGTCAATGACATACATATACACACAATTGTATGTACACACATGTATTTGATCACTTATTTTTGGACATTTTGGGGCTTCCCTTGCAGTCTTAGAGCAATCACCTCTGCCATCCATCCATTTTCTGATCTGCCTCAGCCTCACAAAGGTCGCGGGGGGTGCTGGAGCCTATCCCAGCTCTCTTCGGGCAGTAGGTGGGGGACACCCGGAACAGGTTACCAGCCAATCGCAGGGCACACAGAGATGAACAACCATCGGCGCTCACACTCACACCTAGGGACAATTTTGAGTGTTCAATCAGCCTGCCATGCATGTTTTTGGAATGTGGGAGGAAACCGGAGTACCTGGAGAAAACCCACGCAGGCAAAAGGAGAACTTGCCAACTCCAAGCAGGAAGGCCAGAGCCCGAATTGAACCCTGCACCTGTGCACGGTGAGGCCGACGTGCTAACCAGACAGTTAATATAAAAATGACAAAATGTGATCTGTTGTCACAGACCCTCTTCCTTCTGTGTATTTCCGATTACTTGCTTGGCCACCGGGCCACTGGTTGTACGGTATACCAGTTCTAATTAGGTACCAGGATACCAAGGCATTTTAAACTATACTTGAAAGGTACCGGTGCTTGCAGTACCGCCACTCGCAATATAATGTTATCGCATTGTAAAACTACA